TCTATGAGCCTTAGAAACTCAGCTTTAAACTTTTTTAAAAATAATTCTGAAGAAATAAAAAAGTATATGTAAGTTTGGAATTATTAAAAATAATACGGAACACAGAATACAGGAAATGATGGATTTTCCTAGATCCCATGAAAGATCTTATTTCACTCTTTCTCCTTATTAAGAATGAATAAAATCCAGTTGTCTATTTTCTAGTGTTTTTCAATGATGTAAGGACACTGTGTATTTTATAGTCCAAATGCATAGGAGGGTCCTGTTGAAATATTAGCCTTTGATCTAAAAATTAGCATAATGTTTCTGATTAATTTAAACTATGTAAAAATTACATACACACACATACATGATTGTTACTATGGATTTATGATATATTTTTTCTCGAATTTCTTTATGAATTCTTCATTTTATTACTCTACATAGAATTTAGCTATGCTATTCCATTGAACCATATTTGTGGTTAGAAAATAAAAGATTACCCAATAAAGCCATGAAAACTTGGATCAACTATCCAGGTTATTTTCTAGTTAAGAAGTTTATGATTCTCATAGACAATTTTAATTGAGAAATTGTCAGGGTTAGGAAATATTACATATTCCACTAAAATTCAGGATACATGATAAGATAATAATGAGCTGTTGGGAAGGAGGGTGAGAGTTTAACGAAAAGACAGTCAGTGGAACACTTACACACAAACACATACACACACACATACACACACGGGTAAATGTATAATATGTGTGTGTATAATTAAATACATAATCTTTGTAATAAATATTACTGTAAATTAACCATGTAAACATTCAATAATAATACAAAGACAACTAGAATGAGATTCACTTTGGTCCGAACAGAAATAAAGTCAATGTTAGAGTTGTCTCAAATTTGTTTCATTTAATCTAAATAGAGCATTGTACCACAAAAGTGGAAATATCGTTACTAAATTTGTACTATAAAGCAACAGCAACATATTTTGTCTTAATATTAACACATAGTATTATAATCGTCAGGGTTTTAAAAACTGTCCCTAAGGTTAATCTCGGTGATCACCACACTTCACCCTCTTACTCTTCCTGGTTATACTGAGTGGCAGATTGCAAGCTTTCCTTATTATCTTGTTAAATCAAGAGGTGAAATCCTTTTAAGGCTTCTCCTTTTAAACATATTTTATTAATGCTAATGTGCCAGATGGGAGAAATTAAAATGGTTCTGTTCTTCATGCTGCCGTTTCCCACAATTTTACCACATCATTTGCTGGTTAAGGAAGCATATGAAAATGATAGGTGAAGCTAACGGTTTTAAAAGTTTGAAAATTATGGAATACCTTATCTAAGAAAATCCTTTCTTATTTCATCAAGGTGAGAACTGGACAGCTGCCCTCCCCTAATCGTTCTTCAGAAACCCTGACAAACCTAGAACATATGAACTCATCACCTGTCCTGCTTTCTCAAATTTACCTCACTTTTGCATTCCAAACAACTAGCAAGATGATCATGCAAGAATCAATTCCCCTTGGTTCTAATTGTACAGAGTATCTAGATTCATTTAAATGTGACATTTTTTCTTATCCCCTTTGCATCTTTGTGAAGCACACCTTTGTGTGAAAGAGCACTCACCCTTGCACATCTTGGGAAACTGCAAGTCACTTTTTCCCCTACCTGCCTAGGAAAATATTTGCAAACCTTTGATTGAATAAAATACACAGCAACCAAGACTTTGATTCTGTGCCAATTGGATTCTGAGTGGTGCCTCCATTTGAACTCCAAGCCAAGAGAAGTTCTTGGATGCATACAAGGGGTAGTCTTGTTATGATGATAAAGTTTTACTTCAGTTAGGTAACATATAATTTGGGTACATATATAATAATTGAATTCAATGTAAAACTGAATACATTTCCTCTCCTAACTAATCAGGTCTTTTAGTGGAGAACTATAGGTCTAGAAAGGTTCAAACATTTTTTTTTTATTATTATTTTTAAGGGAAGGAATGGGATAGAGAATACTTTATTCCCTAGAATTTTCTTTGAACTGAAATTGATTATAATATTTATCTTTGATTCTTTCCTTGCATATGAATTAATATATTGTCTTATCTCCTAAATGACTTGATTATGCATTTAACTTCATGTCTCTGCCTCAGTGTTTCTCCACTGAGCACAGATTTTACCAGAGAATCATAGGCAAATCCACGATTCTATGCTTGTCTATGACTTCTAAGCCAGGAGAGTATGGTCGGCATTATCCTGAATAGCTTAAATCCTCAGGAGAGGAGTGTGTGAAAGCCACTATCCTTGCTGGAAACTGAACTTTCAGGAAGCAAAAACAAACTAGAGTCAAAAACAAGGCCTGGATTATATTTGTACACACACACACACACACACACACACACACCATTTATTTTATTCTGTCTTCACTTTTTTCTTTTTACTGGTAACAACATTTATACATCTTTAAATCCATTCACTTAAAAATATTTTTGATAAAAATTGGTATATGTTAAACTTCATTTCTTGTATCCATCTGTCGATGTTAAATGTAGGTGCCACATGAGACATGAAGTTTGTATAATATAAATAGTGATCATGGTTTTCGTATGGTTCATTCTGCAAAGACATACATAAACACGTTTTAAATTTTTATTTCATCTCTCAATATGTGTCTGTTTTATGTACATGTGGGTGCGGTTCCCATGAAGGCCAACAGAGGCTGTCATGGTCCCTGGGTCTGGATGGGTATTAGGTGGTGAGTGCAGAGACCTAAGCTTGGGTCCTCAGGAAAAGGAGCATTCATCAATAATTTTAGCAGCACCTGTGAGTATACTTTACCTTTTGAATTGACCTTACTACTTAACCAAGTTTCTAGATTATTTTAACTGTCAAGAGTATATTTAATTGAGGTTGCACCTTCTAAGGAAAATGTGGTGACTGAGTGAGAATATCCCCCACAAGCTATTCAAATATATGGTTGGAAGTTGGTATACTGTTTGGGAAGGACAAGGAGGCAAGTTCTTGTAAGAGGAGGTGTGTCACTGAGGTTGGGTAATTGAAGTTTCAAAGGTCCATACCATTTCCAGTGTCCCTCTGCCTCTGCATCCAAAGTTCCAATAAGATGTAAGCTCTTAGTGCTCCATCAGCAGGCTACCCCCCTGGTCCCATGATCCTCCCTGTTCCCAAGATCCCTGCTGCGATGCTTCTGAAAGTGTAAGCAAGGCAGCAGTATTTGCTGCCGTTTATAAGTTGTGTTGGTCATGTTGTCTCTTCCCAGCAATAAAATCCTAAGACACTTTAATCATCTTCAAAGGGAGGAGTGTGTTTGGAGTTCATTTTCATATCCGTTTTTACTGAATGTCTTTAGTGAAAACAAAACAAAAGAAAACAGAAAAGAGAGTATCATGACCAATGACATATACTAGAAAATACAACATACTCTGGGTTCCTGTCAGCATGTAGAAGATTCATTTCTACTTTGCACATGCATGGGTCATTCAGTTTACACCTGAAATCTAACATTAGATCACAACTACTAATTAACTGAATGTTAAAAATCAATAATGAACTATGCATAATGGGCCCAGATCCCAGATTACAATGTTTGAAGTAATCAATGCTCTGAACGCACACTAGTTAGCTTTGGACTTACTCATTGTCAGCATATTTTGTTCTGATAAAAACAATATATACAACCAATTTAACTTCTGTCTTTTTACGTTTCAGGGTGTTTTCTTATTGCAAGCATTTGCCACGTCTCTATGTCTTTCTAATAATTTCTGATAAGCACATATGTAGCACTGCCTCACCATGAAGATGGAGAGTAGAAGGCAGAAGAAGCTAAGAGTGACCACCACCGGGGTGCCACCACCAGGGTAGGGGAAGTGCTTTTATGTTGAAGTATGAAAATGGCCATCACACACCAGACCAAGTAAGATACACATCGTCAAATAGGCACAACAGCAAACTGAGAGTGAGTGCTCCAGGTGGAAACATCCCGAATGTCAGCTCTGCCTGCCTGGATGCTGTTTCTAAACTCATTAAAGTTACAAAGATTGCCTAAAAAGGAATTGCTTTTCAGTTTCTGTAATTCATTTTCAAAAACAGCAAAAGAATATATTTGCTCCACAAAAAGTATTACTTGGCATTCACTGGTGCCAACTCGGGTCTTCCAGCTATCCCAACCACCTCCTATGTTTCTGCATATTTTTATTTTAGGAGAATTTTAAAATCTGCTGAGAGAAAACACACTCCAAGATTTATATCAGAAAAAGACTCCCCCCCCCC